GGTCCACTGATATTCAGTAAAAGTAAAACTTGAGATTTATTTTATTATTTCAGCATTCAGCATAAAATTATGCATTACGGTTTACTTATAAAAATATTTTCCGTTATGGGTTTATTATAATGATAAATTATTTTGAAAACATATTCAAATCGATACTTTGTATTGCGGAAATTTACGGTGTGTGTTCAGAAGTTGGTCGAATAATACTTATACCTTGGGCAACGCTGGTATTATACTAATAATAAAATGAAATCAGGCTCTTTTTTGGGGTAGTTTGAAGTTATGTAGCGTAATCTTCAACAATAAGATACGATGAAAAACCAATAAGGTAAATTAAATTTTTATTATCCTTCAAATCACCTTTGTAAGTAATACTTGCAAAAGAATATTTTTTAATTAAAATAAATAATTTTGGTAATAATATTATAAAAAGTAACACGATTCGCAAACAACTTGCAAAGTGTCATTTCGTTCCAATGGTTATTAAAATTCTGCAAGGCAATGCTTGGCTACAAAAAAATGAAATGAAATTCTATAAATGGTACCGTAAAAAGTGACACAAAGAAAATCAAAAGAACAAAGACAAAGAGATGCAATGCTAGATAACCCTTATTCGCTCACAACACTTCTATAATCCATGGATTATCATACATATGCTCGGAACCAAATATTGCTGATGGATTTTGATCGATACAAAGTATTTATACGACATATTTTCGATAGCTGGTAAATGTCTTATTTTTTCAGTTACATTATATAATTGGCAGACTGGAATTGCATTTTCATTAGGAAAGGTGACATTTTGTAATAAGATTCTCGTAAGTGTCACCAGATTGTACGAAAAAACTGAACGAGCCAGAATCGTACCAATTACTGAAATCTTATTTAAGAAAAAAAGTCCTAGAAATTGGTGAAAGACAATGACACCGAATATTCACGGCACCGGCACTTTCTCTTACTAAGGTTATTATTATTAATATTCCATATTGACGAAAATAGCATAATCAGCGGTGTTAAAAATCCAAGTGGCTAAATTTAATAATTGATTGCACTAAAAATTCCATCGTAATGCATTTTTCCAAATCTGAATTAGCCTGCACGTGTTTGAATGATGATTGGAATTAAACTTAGCTTTTTTGATTAAGTTTATAAGTGTAAAGAATTGTTATCAGACTGATAAAAAATCCTCTTGAAATAGAATGATTTTCCGCTTGATATTATAGCTGCAAACGGATTGTATTTGATTTTTCATAGTATTTACTAGAAAGGATGAATCGCAGTCAGTAGAAGCGATGAATTTCATTCGATAATGCTATGAAATAATAAAAAAAGTAGGCAACGCTGTCGTAACGGCCATGTCAGTGTAACATCGTAAAAGTACACTTGGCCAATTCGAACGGCAGTCCGGAGGGATGTCTATGACGAACGCCGAGTGGAGCGATAAAACTACTGCGTATGAGTAGTTAGAAAGAGAAAATAGCGTAGAGGTTCGTAATAATTTTTGTGCGCCACTGCATATAGCAGGTTCTTGGCAGCGAACGAAGGCATGGCCCTAAGGCAGGCTGCAGTACAGAGTCGCTCGAAGGTAACGAGAGGCTCGGCTCGAGAGCTGAGAAGCAGGCAGACTACGGGAGCCCTCTTCGCGGCGTGTCCTTATGTGCGAGCGGGATAGCGGCAAGTTTCGAATCGCTGCTTCCGTTGAAATCGGCATAGCAAGGCAGAGGTAGAGGGAGCGAGCGGCAGCTGGTTACGAGTGCATTGTCTTACGAGTGCCGACGGCTCGAGAGCACGCTTGCTCAGCCGGCCTCCCGCACGCCTGGTCGCCGCTTAATTATCCGGCAAACGAGATAACTAGTCGGCTAGATCAGCGCCAGTAGCGGCAAGTAGCTAACTCCCGGCTATGCGTCTGCGGCCGCTCCTCTCCCGACCTCCCGACACGGAGGGACCAAGCGAGAGATAATTCGGATGTGCACCACGGGATTATGCGCGCGCGAACGTCCAGAGTCCCTCTCTCGCGGTCGGCAACTTTTTAGCGCTGGGAACGCGTATCGCTCGAGTGGGCCTGCTCTCTTTCCTCGCACTCTCCCGTCGAAAGTCCGCTCTTTTTTCCCGCATTTTCATTAGCTACACGCGCGCCGTCACGCGCAGCGCAAGGGTCTAATCTCCGCGCGGCCTGGAATACGGTATAGCGCTTAGCCGGGCCGCAACTTTCCGCGCCGTACACAAATTATTTCAAAAAGAACTTGGGAGATCTTCGGCAAAGCCGTGGGACGAGCGCGAGTTCCAAAGAGAGCTTTGGCCCTCCCTGGGCGCGACCCGCGGATTAGCTTCCTCCGCGACTTGGCCAAGTGTGCTCGGCGCCGTACGTGCAAGCGTAACGAATGCGGGGCACGCGTCGTCGGAGAGAGCCGGCCGCGGCTGTGCTGATCCAGCAGCCCCGCGGTACGCAGGTCGCGGGCCTTGCTTCTCATTGCCGAGGAGTTGGACGCGTAACCTCTCGCGGCTGTTGCCGCAGGTATATATGCCGAGCGAGCGACCGCAAGTTGGCACCCTTCTGTTTGGCCTGTCGATTATACGGTTAGGCCAGTAGACGCCCCCGCGGGCGCGTTTCTTCCGTGACGATCTCGTTGCCGACCTCGTCGTAATGCTAATCTCCCGACCTCCGCCACCTCGGCCTCTCTGTTTTCCTTTCGCCGCGCATATTTCTCGCTCGGCCGTCTTTCATTTCGAGGCTCTGCCCAATATTTGGTCAATAATCTTGTCCTACATGCCTCGCTCTTGCGCCCCTGCTCTCCATCTCAAATTAAATTCTTTGTCAATATTGATGCTCTCCGCCTTCTCTCTCAGACTCGCCTGTTCCATTATTCCAATAAGAATTTCGCATATTCAGCGGGCGCGCTCTTCGATTATTTAGTTCGCCCGGGCAATCGGCCGCGCCACCCTTTCAATTTCGCCGCGTTCGACGTGCCTTCAAAAAGCATTCGCCGTAACGCGCCGCACGCTAAACCCCGGCCTAAGTAAGATAAAACTGCGGAAGCTTTATTTAGAGCGCAATCAATTATCGTATACAAAGACACAAATCAGCGTCACGGCAATTTACGCGAGCGGCCAGCCAGCAGCCGAGTAGCCTCATGGCCAATTAGCGAGAATCATGGCCGCCTGCAGGAGTGCAGCCCTCGCTCCGCGTAAATCTCGACAATAATGCCAATAATAATTGCCCGCGCCGGCTGATCAGAGAGAAACAGCCAAGATTTCCTCTGCAACAACGTCGCGTTGTTTAGCGTTGCGAGCCGATGTTTGATCTTGATTTAGCTGCGCAAAAGCGAAGGTCACGTGCAGCGAAGAAACGTCGCGGGAAAGCTGTCGCGTCAATTTATCGCACTGTCTTCAAACACTCCTCCTCGTCCCCCCCCCCCCCCCCTCCCGCTCGGACAATTACTGACTTGGCTGTGCCATTGGATTTACGGCTGCACGTTTGCACGTTTGTACGTCAGAATCCTTCCGGACAACTGCGAAACATACGCGACGTCGAATGATTTGTGATGCCTCGAACGAAAGCAATCTATCGTCGCAAATCCAGCCGAAAACAAAAGAGCGTCGGCGAGCTTTTCGTCGCTTTTCACCAATAAAGTTCATAGCCGCGCGGCAGAGTGCAATTTATTCGGTGTAGCTATTAGGCGGCGTGGAGTGGAGGCGAAGGCGTCGGCTCGTCGAAAGCGGCAAAATCGACGAGAAATCCGGTATATTTCTCTGAAATGAGGTTATTGCCTCTGTTTGCCCCCACAGCAGCTTCGTCCCATAAATATATGAACGCGTTTGAAACATGGGCACCGAGCGATATGGCTACAGAGAGGGAGAAAGCAAAACCCCGAGACGCATCGGGCATAGAAATCCAGAAATCCTTATAGCTAAAGCGGAAAAAGAAGCAGAAGAAGGAAGCGTCCCCTCGGGCGCTGTCCATTTGCCAGGCTCCGTTGAGAAGGCTCGCCGAGAAATCCAAGTGGCGCACGCACCGCGCGAGTCGTTTTTACAGTGAGAATCGTTGGGATATCAGCGTAGCGGCGCGTTCTCGCGCGACTAGAGAGACGAGCAGGCGGGGGTGGGGAAGCGCGCGCGCGCGCCTGCATCGCGAGTCGGCCGAAGCTGCATCATCCCGTCGCGAGCGAGATAGCAGCTGGAGCACTGGCGAATGCAACGCGCGTACGCGCGATGCTGCAGTTAGTTATTGTCGAATAACGCGCAGAGATCGCGCGCGAGCGAGCGCGACGTACGCTTGTATGTATTACGCCACGTCAAGCACATGAAAGCCATTCAAAACTTGGGCGAACGCGCGCCCTGAGCATTCACTACTGCGCTCTTCCAAGCTTTCGCCCGTCCCTCAGTGCGCGCCTATATACGCGTCCCATAAATATTACAATGTGCCACGAGGATTTTGATATTCGCGCGCACGTACACACTGCATTGCAGATCAGATTTTACAGATGATGTGTTATTGAAACATGCGCCAGCATGGATGATCGATGACAAATGGAATGCACGTAGCTGCTTCCAACTGAGCAACTAAAGTGATATGTGCTATATGTGGATAATATCGCCAAGCCGAGCTTTCGCTTTGGTCCTATCATTTTGTCGGAAATTTCGATCGAAATTACATGTGAATTTCTCGTTGACAATATCGCTCTATCCTGATTCTTATTGAATTTTAACTCACTTCTTGTTAATCACAAGCAAACGACATTCTTTTCTTCGTCAATTTTCTTAAATAATAGTGAATGAGAACTTATATTTCTGTTTGCAATGTCATCATACCGTTTTTCCTATACTATTGTGAATGGCTATCTCTAAAAAGTTTAAATTACAGTTAATATGGACACGGTGATAACTCCAAATTGCGTTAACGAACTGGATATGTATAACATATACTGAGACAAATGACTTTATAACTAAAATTGTAGAAAAATTTCATATAGAATGTTATAAAGTAAATATATACTTCGCTCGTGATAAAAGTTATTACAGATATAATAATAATTACGACAGATGTATCATCTATAAGATCCATCACAAAATATTATAAGGCTACAATATCAATTGCTAGGAATGAGTAAACTTTGATGCTGTTAATATTTATTATATAGATAGTATAAGTCAAAATTGTTAATGCGATGTATAAAAATTGTTATGACTCTAACAAAAACTAACTAAATAACAATAATTATTATTTTTACAACAAATATTATTGGAGCTTGTAGTGAATTTTACCATAACACATTGTAACAATTACTCGGTCCGGAGTCAACGCCATCGGTAGTTCCATTTTTTAAGATAGATAGCGTTTTAAAGAACTGTACACTGATTTTGTATGATTACTAATAAGTTGTAAGCAGCTGACATTACGAGCACTTGGTATATACTCGTACCAGATATTACTTTATTTAGCGGAAAGTACGTGGTCATGCAAGCGAAACAAAACTGCAAGATTAGAGTTAGGCGAGCAGCATCATACACATACATCAGGGTAATGAAATAGTTGGTCAGTAACTAACTGCGAAAACATAAAAATTTACGTTTAACAAGTGATAGGATATATAGTAAGAAGTGTGTTAAATTGGATTTTATATCATGTTTTTCATCTTCTTTTGGATCGCAGTAAAATTTACTATAACTACATAATAAAATTTTATGAAGCCTATACTAAAAATTATTGCAATATAGAAATGTGTCCTCGCTTTATCAAAGTTCATAGTAATTTTTTTACAATTATAGTAAATTTTATAAAGTAATTTCTGTCAGTGTATAAATTAGTCGTAACTCTAACAACACATACGTCAGCGAATATACACTTGACTGGTTATGTATACTAATTACATAATATACTCGCTTTTTTACTATACTCATCATTTTTTATAAGAGTTTTCAGTGGCGACCTTGACAGACGTTGTTGAAAGATAATAATCTGGCGCTCTTGTTAGTCCTGGTTGGAATAGCATAGTAAGCAGTTTGTGCATGCGATGTATGATTCGACAAAACCGTTTGCTAGTCGTGTCAATGTGTAATATTGAATACGTCAAACAGTGTGTATTTCATTCCGATATAGTAGAGCCTCAATAGTTTTCAAATGGAAAAGCACTATAACTGAGGTCGATTTCTTTTGGTACATCGATTAGGAATTTCATTTTATTTTTGCCTTTGCGTTGTTTGATTCAACAATCTATCCGTCTCTTTCCTTAATCTTCATTGAACAGGTGAGTGAAAGAATTATCGATTCATTTACTCGTCGATTATTTATGTTTCAAATGTTTTGATTCTGTTTCTCAAAGATTATTAATATTCCAGGTCAATGTTACAGTCATTCTTATAATTTAATATTCACGGATTGTAAACAATTAATTTGATTCGTAATTATTCATCGGTTCTTGGTCGTTGCGAGGGAAGATTATCTTGTCAAGACGCTTAACAAAGTGCATATTTATTGCCGTTGCATTGCAATATTTATTGATGTTACATGCAACATTCTTTCCGGATGAAGAGTTCAGTAAAACGACTTATATCGCTCAAAGTATGTTCGTAGAAGTCACGAAGAAGTTATTGAAATTCAGTAGAATACAATAAACGAAGATCAACAGGTTATAAAATTAACTACAATTTGTAACCTGATATGAAGACCCCAGGCGAATCAATTAAGTAAGTTTTACAATAACAGTCACTTATACAATATTTGATTTAAAAATATTCCAGATATATAATATTCACTTGATCTCTTCCCCTACTTGATTTTATGGCATCGGCAAATTTTTATTTCAGAGATTATGTAAATGGAGGTAATTCTGCAATCTCTGGTCATACACTAAGATCATCTGCGTCACAGTGTTCGGCCGCTCTTGCAACGAATCTTATAAAATTTACTTTTGGATCGTTTTTCGGAATTACAACGATTCTCGTAGCAGAACTTCACAAGGAGAATGCGGAAATTGAAATTTCACTGGGTGAACTAACATGGTTTGGTTAGTACTACACGTAACTGAGTTGTATAGTATTCCGTAACATTGAACAACTGATAATTTGAGTATTGAAAATGCATCGAAAGTACCGTCGTTACAAGACTTGGTATGAGTAACGACATTACAAATAGTTTCTGCTGAATACCGGCAATCCTTTGAATCTTTTCAAATATTTGAGCTTTCGGTTGTCAAACGAATTGTTCACGCGTGTGACCATAGTGCCCGACGTTTGGCCGAGCATTCAGAAGTCGTGGGAAACGGTCATTTGCAAGTCTCACAAATTCAATGCATTATTCTTTTCTTATACTTATTTTTCGGCTTTTATAGTCGGTGGAATCGTATTTCGAAAACAAAACCACGTCAGCAATAATGTGTTTTTTCTAATAATGTGTGTGGAAAAAGTAACGGCAACGTAAGTTAATTTGATGTGTAATACTTTATAGGCAGTCTATGCTTCATGGTGCCAGTGGGCTCCATATTGATGGGACTAATAGCTCAATATCTAGGACCCCGTCGGTGTTTGCTTCTGACGACGGTCATGTTTATTACTTCTTGCGGCATATTTTATTGCGCGAATAATTCTACCATGCTCCTGAGCGGGCAAGCTATCGCTGGGTTAGCTGCGCCAGCAACAATAGGACCCGGAACTACGTACATCGTCGAGACAGCTCAACCACATTTGAGAAGTGCGTTGGTGGCTTCTACAAATCTATCCGTAATCGTCGGCGCATTTCTAACGATTCTTTACAGCAACTGGCTTCACTGGAGAACAATCATCTTGATAGATCTCGTTACTCCAACTCTCGGATTCTTCGCGATGTTCATGATTCCCGAAAGCCCACACTGGCTCGCAAGTAAGCTTTGTAATCGGCTGCCAAGCGTAGTTTTAACAAATTAACGAAAGTCTCAATGTGCTTGTACGAGTACGTACGAACGTGTGTACAGTTGATTGCCTGACAAATATTTTCCGTAGGCAAAGGAAAATTGGACGAAGCAGAGAAAGCCCTGTCGTGGCTACGTGGCTGGACCACAGCGGATAACGTTTCCGAGGAATTCAACTCGTTGAAGGAAACTTATAAAATGCCAGATGAGAACTCATCGAGTCGACCGAGAGATTCTTACAGAACAGCTCTGAAGCCGTACGTCCACAGAACATTTTATCGACCTCTCGCTACAGTTGGCTGCATGTTCGTCTTGCACTCTTGCACTGGATTCAGCGCAATTATAACATATTGCATGGTTATATTCAGAATTATCGATGCGCCTATAGATAGCCATTTAGCGGCATCGCTCTTCGACGTGATGCGCATCACCGGGGCCATACTTTGCATTCTGTCTGTTCACCGCACCGGGAAAAGAAAATTGACGTTCGTTTCTTTGATTGGAGCAGGCTTGTTATATTTCACAATAGCCGGGCTGTTGTTTTTGAAAACACAAAGTAGTTATGCCGATTACGCGTACACCATTAATTGGAGCGCGACCGTTCTAGTGATATTTTCAACGTTCTTGACGTCAGCCGGTGTCGACAAAGCCATCTTTATGTACAATGCTGAATTGTTTCCTACAAAGTTTCGAAACGTTGGTACAGGAATCGGTCTATTTATACACGCGATTGGCGGCGCTACTATAAGCAAAACGTATTTGTATCTAGAAGAAGCTGTCAGTTTGTCGGGAACTTTCGTCATTTTTGGTATTTTCTGCTTTGTTTCTTGCGTTACATTTTACTTTCTTCTTCCGGAGACTGAAGGTAAAACGTTGCAAGAAATCGAAGACCACTACAATAAAACAACTACCAAGGATACGTCTCTTTGATAGTAAACCATTCAAGTATGAAAACTTATTATTTGTGATAAGATTAGCGAAGAGAAATGCGTTGTATTTAAATAAATACAACCAACTAGTTTTTTAATGTCACTGCTACCATTATTCTCGAAAGCATTACTCGGGACCCAGAAGTCCGTACATCAGTTCATGCATCGCACAAGAGGCTTCACTTGAGACTTAACAAACATTGACTTATCCGGAATGATATCGAACTATTATGAGGGAGTATGAACGGGCCGTAGACCAATGGCTCTAGCCGACTTTAGGCAGTGAAAAACAGTCGAAGCTGGCGCGTATAAGGGAACGAAGATAACGCGGAGCCGAGAGTGGCAGCATCGATATGAAACACGCCTGCCGAGGCTTTTGCACATTGTCTGCTGTGTTCGGCGTTGGGCTTTTAATAGCCGACCAGTACTCACTCAAACCTCGAATTATTTTATAAAGCAGCGCCGGTGCCGACAGCTCGGCTAATTCCATCAGCTGCGTCGGCGGCCGCCCACTGCATTACCCTCTACGCACTCTTTGCTTTTCATCAACCCTTTCTGCCCGGCCACTCGCGCCCGCCCGAGCTTATTATGTTTCCAATATTGTGTTTCAAATTTATGCATTTTCTCCCGTCATTAGCGCGATAAATTCGTTAGCTCGCGTCAAAAGTTTCCCCGAGTTCCGTTCTTTCCTGATCGCACATTTTCGATAAACAAATGAGAATTTGAAAGTAGTTCTCAGCCATCGTCCTGATTATGTCCTCGGTACAGCCGCTTGTACTTTAAAAGAAGAGTTCCCGCCCGTTTATCAGCGCATTTCGCAACTTGGAACTACGTGAGAGAGTCTGTAGAATTTATACGCCTGGAAGATTTACGCTTCCACTATTAACGCATTATTGAAAGTCATAATGGCCACCCCCTCCTCCTCCTGCGAGAGACTCGCTTAATAGTGCTGCATCCGCGCTCAGTTCTCACGTGCAAGTTAAGGATGACTTTACGCACGGATGATAACAGTTCTTCACTTTACTTTTCACTGCTTCAAATTTTAATTTCCCTTGATAACTTTTTACATCTCCTGCGTGGTAAACATCGTAAACTGTATAATACGTTTCTTCTTTGAATAGTAGATTGAAAAGAGAATTCTATAGATTAAATCTCAAGTTGCAAACATCGAAATGGTGACATTTACAGTGGTCATTCGAGCGGACTTGGGCTCCAGCAAAAAAAGTGAGAAATTGGCTTTGATAACATGTAAATTTGAAAGGAATCCGTTGGTCTGGCGAATCGAAGCCACCTTTGCTCTTGCTCCCTCGCTTTCTCTCGATTAAAATTTAATCTGGGCGGTGGCGGCGCGAGCTGGACAGAGGGAGGAGTTAGCTCGTAAAACGCATCTGCGGAATGTAAAATACGTAGGTAATACTGTTACGACGAGCGATTTAGTCCGGGTAGCAGCACAGCCACGAGAGAGAAAGAGAGAGAGAGAGAAACCGAGGGTGCTGTAACTTTCATCGACAGAGCTTTCCTCCTGGCTATAGGTACGCGGGCAGAAAACGGCGCCTAGCGAGCTTTCAAGCTGACATCGTTAAATTGCCGATACGTATGGCGCCAGAGAGAAAGGGAAAGTGCGCGACGCGACTCGTCGCTCGCTGAGCTTTCGATCGCTTCGTCACGAGAGCGCGCCCGTCGCTATGCGGAGGAGCACGATAAGTTTTATCGGACACTTGGGCCGTACGCGAATGTACCCGTAAGCCTGCGATCTCCCGCCCCTTTGTCGCGCCGGCAGCCTGTTTTCCTCGCTGATAGCCCTCGCTGCTCGAAATTATTCAGGGATCGAGCTTTTTCATCCTCCTTCGCTCGCTCCGCGCCTAGGACTTTGCAAGGGGACACGCACCGTGCCGTCGCGGCTACTACACCCAGCTTCCAAATATATTGAAGCAATTTCGTGAACTCGCGCTGGATTGGTTTATTTATGTGCTGCGCAGCCATGTTCTTTTCCTACTTTCCTCGCTCCCTCTGCTCTTGCTCTCATCGTTTCGTCTACTTCTGTATTCATGCTTAGCATATGCCTAACATAAATATTCATTTACAATCATATTACCAACGAGTCGTTTGAATATTTTTCTCCGCGCTATGACGATGTCACGGCAAACATTGATTCAAACATCTACCTTACTCCAGTCATTGTTGAATGCGTTTGTTACTCGGATGACAATTTTTTATTTCACCTGTAGTTTGACGGTTATAAACACGTAACATATAAATCAAAAGTAAGCCATATCCTTTCTTATCCGAGCTACAAATCTTATAGCAAGTTATTGAAGTGCCATCCGTTCAAACGTGAACGGAATCTTTTGATCGGCATTTTTTTATTCTATAATAATCAATACTCGGAGTCTTGGAAAGTATTCTTGTGCGGTTGGTAACGGAAAAGACAATTTAATTACAATAAGACGTCACTATTTTAAAACTTTCGATCGTTACTGCAAAAATACCTACTGCTAGATCATAAAATATTGTCATAATTGTTTCACCCTTCGCGACATAATTCCTTTCACAATAGCAACCGAAGGACAAAATAACAGTTAATCATCGATCAACGGATTGGTTTATTTCATTTTCAACTCACAATGGCTAAAATCTAAACAAGTAAACATTTAACTAACTTTCGATCATTCATCGTATTTATCATACTCCTATAATTAATAATCATACTATTATATTATATCCCCTGTGGATTCAATTTGTAATCTCTTATGGATGAATGCGATTATTTGTATTGAATAGAAAGGAGATAAAAGAAAAGGCATTTAAGAAAACCAGTAGAAATTTATCTAAACGATACTTTCTGGATCCGATAAGACTAATGGGGCAACAGTCTCGTACAAGCAGTAGGTTTGTCGACAGCATAAAGCTAATAAGGTTTAGGTGCGCCACAAAGTGTTCGGTACATTAGTTCGGGTGCGTTAAAGAGCTACTAATAGAGGCACATAACGCGTGTGACGCGTATCACGAAAGTGAGGCATATATTCTTTAGACGGAACGTGTGCAAAAGCGAGTCAGTGCAACCACGAGTGTGAGAGAGAGAGAGAGAGAGCCTTGGGTTACTGGTTTATGGCTGCAAGTTAACGTCCCTATGTTAATGTCAGCTAACAGGAGCTGCGTGCCGCTCGCAAGAGAGAAAGCACTTTTACGCTTTACGAGTCCACTTGGCGAAAACGGCCGGATTATCGAACGAACGTAGGCCGCCTCGTACGCGCGTGCAGCGAGAACAAGTGGATTAGCAGCAGAACATCTAATACACTGAAAACGTATATTGGTTGATTCAACAGACATCAGTCCGTTGAAATACGGTAACAAAGGAATCGTTGGTTCTTTCAAGAGCACCCGGTATATTGATTTGACAGACTGTGCGCTGTTAAGTTGTCCCATGAACCCAATCAAAATAACTCTTAGTTCGGGGTAAAAACAATCGATAGATCTGGTCAAAGAAAAATTCCTAGTACTTATTTTAATACGAAGTCAGATGCTGAATCATTGTACTAATGTTAATTAAACGAACATAATAAACGAAATTGCCATTAAAAATTTGTTTTTTCAAGTTTTTTTATACTCTTTATGAATGATATGAACGAATGTGTATTTGAAATGTTTATTTTTAGAATCTTAGAATTTTTTATTCGCTAATTTTTTTTTTTGAGTGATGAGTTTTTTGTGGCGGAATCGGAGATGCTTACTTTAACCTAATCTACAACTTATATTAACGCATTTCATAACATATCACATCGCTCGCAACAATCATAACGCCAAGACGCCATTTTCGCTTGCCTGTAGGGTCCCAAAACTTTCTTATATAATAATCGAAACATAACCTGTGTACTTGCGAGTATTTCATTAGCCACCTATCTGAGTAGTAGGAAGCTTGCTTTTCAAACAGTTGGCGGGAAATATTTATAGACACAGATATGAAAAATTTCCACTAAGAGATATGGACAAATATGATTTTGTTTTAGACTCGAATGAATAATAGCTGCCATCAGTTTGAATAAAACAGTAAATTAAATACCAAAAACGATTGTAGTATTATTATTAGCCAAATTTTACTGGAACAAATAGATTTTAATAATTAAAATGCATGGCGAAATAATTGGGGAGATTGTCTATAATAATTTAATTTTTTTAATAAAAGACTAATATAAAATATGATTTTTATTGAACTCAAACAAAAATTACATGTCATAGCATACATAAAATTTTCCATCGCTCATTTTCTGCAAGTTATAAATTGCGTTTGAAAACAAATTATTTTCGCAAACGCAAATGAAACCATTTGTTTCTTGAACTTCGTAAGCACATAAATGAGACGAATAGTTAACAATTTTTAGATTTTGACCTACAAACATAATATCTTTAGACTCTTGTTTAATCAAAGTATAAACAATTTTACTTATTTGTACTAAATTTTCATGAATTCCCGTCACTAACACAGAATTTTCGTTATACGTTATTCCATTTACTTTAATCCAGGCAACTGGAGTGTAAGTAAGTTTTACGTCTTCAGACACTTTATCTTTGAATAAATTAAATTTACTTAAAAATTCTATGCTTACGAACAACTGCTTGCCACAATAAATTGCTTTTTGGAATCCCTGGCCAACTAAAAATTCATAATTCAATTGCAACTGATTTCTTATAGCTAAGGTTTTCGGAGAATTAGTTCTCGAAGTGGTTGCTCTAGCAATATTTTTTAATGGCCTATGTCTACCCTCAAAACGCATACACGACAATTGTCGTGGTAATCCTAACAATATAATGTATCTGATGTAGTGCAGCAAATGATGGTGTTTTGGCTTTAATAGTTTTTTTAAAGTCTTGCGATATAAGATATGATGATTTGTTATCTCTTGCTGCAATATCGAAATACTTTTTTCTGTTAGCACTGGAGCAAAGACTAAAAATACTATCTTACGTAATGACAAGTACAACTTCCAAGACTTATTTATGCTGGGGACCAAATCACCAATTAAGAATGTGAGATTAAATAATAAAAACTTCATCTCAGAAGCGCTCATTATTAAACATTTTTTTTTTGTAATGTGATCAATATTTAACGAAGGTGTTTCATTTGTTGCGTTAGGATTAGAATAGCTTTCCAACCTTGTCTGTAGTAAGCGAAAAGTAAATAACTTATCAACAAATATAAGGCGATACAATATCTCTGCTAACTCATATCTGCATAGTCCCTCAAGTAGATCGTGCATTGGGTCAAATGATACGCATTTGAATAGATCAAATCCAGGAATACTAGAAAATATATTTTCGCTTCTGACGCCATGTGATTTTTGTTGAACATCTAATAAATGTGTTTGAGTACAACGTAATATTTTTTCATTTTCTTTGACGCAAGTTTTACACTGTTCCTTACTCATATAACAAATTCGGCATGGAAATTTTGAATTAAAACTTTCATTAAATCCTAACAGTGTGTGCAGTTCTAAATTGTCCCCACTTATATTGAAAATATCGAAATAGACTTTTATATTTCTACCACTTACATTTATCGTAATGCCATTTTTTTGTAAATCTAAGATTTGTCGCACAGCAGGATGAAAAAGCTTAGAATGCTTTACTATTTTCTTAAATTCGGATTTACATATTTGTAGTAGAAATATATTTTGCAAATGACTAGCAAATTCCGGTGGTATTCCTAATATAGTAAAATAAAGGCTATGTAATTTGTTGCGTCCCTTATGGGAACCTATAGGATTATTTATCTCGAAATCATCGCCAAACACAGTAAACGGTAGTACAATTTTTCCTGGAAATTTATTTTTAATGTATTTCCATCTTTCACTGTGAAAAATAGAGCATATACACTTACATTTTTCTTTTTCATTAATATAATTTACTATTGATGAGTAAACGTTTGGAAGTTCGAGAAAATGTTTCAAAACTTTTTTTATAGGTACACTAGCGACCGATACTTTGACTGAAACATATTTTTTTCTTCTGTGAATTCGTTTTGTTTTTAATATATTTGCCACGGGAACAACTTCTGATTCTACATAAAAAAGATATTTGAAAGATTTTATTGCTTTATGATAAGTTGAATAATTAAAAAATATATTTTTCATTAAGTTAAGAATGTTATTGAGGCTATCACAACGTAAAATTTTATTATTAAACGAAAGCATTTTTTCAACAAAATTAGTGTTATAGAAGTTTTGAAACATTGTCATGAGAAATATAATCATGTTTATGGGCAAAGAAATTTTGGCATACAAACTTGACATTAACATATCAACTGCGCCAGCTACTTTTATTTCATAGTCTTGTTTAGTTTCTTCACGAAAATTCGTTTCTTTGCATTCACTTACTTTCTCTACAGGCTTATTATTAGATTCTAACGTCATTTCTATATCTTTGGGTTCACTTACTTTCTCAACAGGTTTATTATTAGATTCTAACACTATTTCTATATCAAGTTTTTCGTTATTTTCAAAGAATTTCGGCTCTTCAAAATTTAAGTTTACAGTCTCATCATTTTCAATCTCTTTTGTAATATTTTCTAAATCAGATGTCGTTTTAGAAAAATGTGACCCCATGTGACTTATAAAAACAGATCTATTACTGAAAGTTCTCATACAGTCTCGTTTATTACATATAAATTTTAAAGCACCTTTATGAAAAACTTTTAAATGTTGCGCAAACAACTTAATCGTACTAAAACTAGATCTACATAAAGAACAATCAAGTACCTCCATGTTCAAAAAGTATTTTTTTTTCTAATATACGACTACAGAACACAATTTTCTCTACTAACTATGAACAAAATGTTGAAGCAATATGAAGTCTTGATAAAACTTTAAATCAACATAATCTTCGACTCGTTGAGTCTTACAAAAATGATGAATTATTCAAAGAAAATAAGATAATAAAACTAGCTATATTTTAGCTATCAGTGAAAGCGTTTAAGCTTGATCTGAATCTTTGTTTAAGTTGAATGGTGGTAAAGAAAATTGTATATCGTTAAGCATCTCTTCTACGCTTAATATTAAGGGATCCCAGCGTGTATGGAATTTGTAAACGCCGTTCTGCAGCAACAACCAAAGATGTTCACTCTGCGGTGGATACTTAGCACTGAACACGTGGAATGATTTGAAACAGTAATCAATAGCTGCTTGTAACGATGGCATCTCATACTCGTTATCATCAATTACTAGATATGATGACTCAACTCTACAATCTTCTTCTCCAACAACTATTATATACGGCTGTAGTGTAATTCGTTTGCTTTTTGCAAACAATTTCTTCTCTTCTTGCCTCTTTTCGATATCTCCATAAATCTGCAACAGGTTTTAAAAATACAGTAAACTGAATTCCGTATAAAGTCATTTTTTTAAATTATAGTTGTAGATAATGCTGGTCAAAAACCTTAACATGAGTAATAATTCCCTCAAAACTTTCGAGACATGATGGTTTCCATTGTTTTCTTCGACCTTGTGAGATTCTTGCAGTTGACGGAAGCATGAAAGATAGTAACAGCATCTGTACATAAACTTTGGAATCTATAAAAAAATTATATCTGTTAATACAAAAAATTATTTAAATAAAAAACGTAAGAGTTGAACGAACCTGCGTTAATGTTTTGTGCTTCTAATAATTCCTTAAGAACAATGCATAATGGATCATTAGGTGTAGATCTTACAGCATAAATTTTTGAAAAAAAATCACTTAAGTTGTCTATCGCTTTTTCAATTGTACACATTAAGCTTAAATCAAAATCCATGTCTATAAGCTCATAGCCTTTAGAACATTTCAAAATGGGCCAAGCCTCAAATATGTTATGAACGAGCTTATTATTTTCACTGTTGTCACCGTTTGGATGTCTGCACTTGTAAGTTGTTTTCCAATGTTTTTTCGCAGTTTCCCAAGGTTCTTCTAGTGTACGAAGCCATTCTAGACTCGCTTGTTCTTCCTCAGTTGGTGTATGTTCATCACTATCATCATGAAATGGATTGTTCTCATTATCTTCTGGCCTATAGATATCAATAGGTAAACGTTTCAAATTCTGATATTTATTCAATAATTTGCCACAAGCTTTTTGGCTTTTTTTATTGAGTGTTTTTTTTTTATCCACTGATGGTGAATAATAAATACAAGCCGTTTCACTGGGAAACACTTCCACAACTTTTCTTCTTAAAATCAAAAAATCTTGTTCCTCTAAATCTCTATATGTGAAGTAAAACGTAAAGCACTTGATCGTTTAAAGTTTACAATATATATTAGAAATCCTTCAATAGATTTTCATATTACCTGTCGCATTCTCGAAGTACAGCACACATCACCAAGTGCACAACTTTTTTCCTTTTATTGAGAGTCAACTTGCGTTTATTATCATAACAATTTAGAATATGCCTTCCTTCAAATGTATCATTCAATGCTTTTTGAACGTTAAAATTCTCTGCCACGAAAATTCTATTCACTATTGGTTGTGCATTATTTATTTGATGCAAAGGAACTCGTTCATGATTTTGTCGCTGCTCATCTTCCAATAATGATGTACCAGTTTTTTGGCTTGTTTGTTTTGATGTTAAAACTGCAGTCTGTAAAGTAATTTCATACTAGTAAGATTATGTGAATTTACACTCAACAATCAAATTATAAATAAAAAACCCTTTATATGCAGCTTTCTTGTTATTTGTAATGATTCGTTTTTTTAATGTATATTGCTTTGATTTTTTCTACAGTATTAAAATTCAATAATATAAATACATACTTACATCTTTAACAAAATACTGTTGGTGTTTTATCCAAAATTCATCCACTCGATGAGAAGGGAGAATTCTCTCCACGTCAGAGAAAGACCATTTGCTTAACGTATCACTTGATACTTTTTTTTCTACAAGCACTCACGGAAAATGAACATTCCGTCAATCATGAATTATTTAACATTCACTCATACCTTTCAGTAAGTCAAACAAATCCTCGCTACTCAATTCGACTAATAAGTTTGCAAGATCCATAATAAACAGCTTCTTGACACAATCGCTCTTTTCAAACAAATAATAAAGTAATAACGTTACTCAATAAATCGCGATACACTGAAAATCTGGTCTAGGTTAAGTTGGACTTTCGAGGTTTAAGCTAGTACGTACGAGCAGTGCCACGTGTCGCTATAATAGAAGCCGGCCGGCGGCCGGTCGCGCGCTATCTGACAAAAGATAGTGACGGGGGGGGGGGGGGGGGGAGAGAAAGGGGAATAATGCAAACTCAAAGAAAAAATGCAGTAGGTATTTACACTCTTACCCCATGTTATGCAAACTATAGATCAAGAATATAATATAATAACAAGCTACATTTTATTTTATTATTGAAACTAAAGTCATTTTGATTGGTTTGTTAATGTAATGGGCATACTATCAATTGAAAAGTTAACTCAGTCCCTTGAACGTAGCCATTGTTATTCTGACGTATGAGACGTCAAGTCAACAGCATAGACATTCAAGCAATAGATCGGCCTGTTGAGTCATTTTAACAGACGGCGTTTTATCGAATCAACAGCCGAGTCTGTCAAACCAACAACGAGTCTGTCGAATCAACAGCTTACGAGTTGAGTGAAGCATATAGTAGTTGATGTAAAGACGGTGCTATTGAATGAACAGATGATTGGGTTGATTCGACCATATATTTTTCTCAGTGTATGAATCTACGCTGCTGCAGTGGCCTTTAATTAACCCCCTCGTCTAGTACAGCCTCGGCAAGATGTCGTGATCGCGCGATAAGCTTAATTGGACTTTGGTTGCCATTTGCATTATACACTGGCGGCGAGCATTGTTCACAAATTCGATCTCCGTGAGCGTTGCCCGCGAGAGAAAGGCACACTGTCGCGAGCACGAGCGTCGCAGCGGGATCGGCAGCGAGCGCAATAGCCGAGGCGTAAATCATCGCGGCGCTCGCGCGCTTTCGTTGTCGTGCGTGGCAGCTGGCGCCGATCGCGTTCTCGCCTTGCCTCGCCCCCGGCGATCTTGCATTTGCACTTGCATTTCGAAAGTTTGCGACGCGTAGCTCAATGCCGATGGTCCAGTTTAGTCGCGATAGGCCGTCCATTTCGCATTTTCGTAGAGACGCACGGCCCGTACGTAGGTACGTGCGTTTGCCGGTCCCGGACCGGCAGCCGCGGGCGGATCCAAGATCGCGCGCTGTAGCAGTGCCGGCCGTTATTGCACGTAACAGCTGACTGTCTCTCCCTCAACGGAGCTCGCCGTCACCGTGTAGATAGACAGGGGCGAAACGATGCGTTTCCGCCGGACTTTAGCTGCGAGCGATGCGCGCGAGAGCCCGCGTAATCGCCGGATAGCCACCGCCGCCACCGCCGCCGCCACCGCCGCTGCGGATCGCAGATTAATCGAAAGGGCTTGCGCACAGTTAATTAATGACACTGGCTGGTTCGCTTAGCCAGATCAACCGACTCGATTTGTCCGTAAGCCTCTCTAATTATTAGTTCCGGCTACTGCCATCATTTTCTTTGCCGAGCCCCCTCTGCCTCACCTTATCTCTAGCTTTCGTTGTCCTTTGAGTTGGCTTGCTTGCCGCCTATAATCGCGCTTGATGGTCCTGTGATCGATCGCCAGAGAGACGCGATGTCTTCGTGCTCCGCTTACAATATTGTCGCTTGCATTTCGTCAGCTCGATCGCTCGGTTCTTTGTCCGCTCCAACTTGCACACCGGAGTGTACGCTCTACATTGTATCTCTCCCTTTCCCCTTGCAGCATGTTCGATAGGGACTTGCGAACTATTGTGGTGGATGATGCATGAGCGGTTAACCGCTTGGGTTCCGTCTCGCTGTCGTGCAGCATCGCTTGCCCTCTTTGACGTATCCGCCAAATGAGTAAATCGGATATCAGACCATCGCCGAATCAACCAAATCTCATCAGTTATACACTTGGCCAGCTCTTAAATGAATAATTGCGGATCGGATTCACTCATAATGAACTTTTACAATCCATTTTTTTCGAGAAAGCTCCTAGTCCTGTTTGTAAAATCGATTCTCCGTCTAGTATTTCTATATTTTCAAAGTATAATTATCTTTTTCTGTCTGCATATATATGCAACAATGCATCCTTTATTTTTTATAGTGAACATTCATTAATTATTCTTTCAAAATAATTTTACTAAAATGAAATATTTCCCAACGTTTAGTTTAATAAATATGTTGTTTTGTTTCAATAATCTTTTATTATATTTTAAAGTATACAGTATCAAAATTTGATGCACTATATGTAAAGCAAAAGATACAGTTATTAATCAAATAAAATATTATATAATGGATATAAAATAATATTTCGATTTTTGGAATTTCTTATCTGTTGCATCTTTAAAATGTGATTAACGGTTCATCCTTAATATAAACTAATTAGGATAGTTTACTGAAATTATAATTATTCTTAAAGTAATTAAAATTTTGCAACTCTCTTTAGTTTTTGTTTTTTTCTCTTTTGATCCTGTTTTTTTTTATCAAGTTTCTTGAGATTTTCAACAGCTTTCAAATCTAATTTACCTTCAAAAGAAGGTTGATATTGTACATCCTTAAAAAATATATACATAAAATTTTCTATGTGTAGCAAATGCCATATAATTAAGTAAAATAAGTTTAAAAAATATTACATTTAACAATAAGTTTTGTATTTTCTTCCTTCCAATATTCCTTTTATTAACTTCGGTTAGAACATTAATAATATTAAAAAATGTGTCTTTATTGTGTAAAAATTTTTCTCCATAATATTTACTGAGGGTAGAACTATTTCAATGAATCAAATCCTGTGATATTTTCAAAATATCATTATCTGATAGTATGAAGTTAGGAGACTCACCTTTTTTAGCAACAACTTCTCTCCATTTCAATAATTCCTTTGCAATATAATATTCTTTATTTTTAACTGTGTCATAAATTTGTAAATCTATTTTCTTCCAGTTGATTTTATGATGAACACTACTGCATATTTTCTTACAATTTTGACGCATAGTTTTCAAGAACTTTTTCTTGTGTACCTTATTTATGGAATTGATTAAATACGTTTTAAAAAAGATTAGGAAATGAGTGTGGATTTGACTTGGTTCAAAATTAATATGAGTTGGTAACAAGTTTTTTTCTTTAGAATCCATTACAATTTTGTTGAGTATGGCAGTATCAAACATATTTACAACAAAAATTCAAAAAACCTTTAAACAATCTAAGAACAGCATTTTCTCCATCATGAAAAATTTTCATAATCTCTAGGTTCATAAAAATATCATTCAAGATATATAACTCTTTCTGAAGTTTCAAGCAGTCGATCATATAGTATATTTCTTCAGTAGATATTTGTAAAAGCCATGAGAAACCAAAGTAACTTCTTTGCGAATAACATTCTACATTTACTTTATATTTTACCAATTCATTTGACATAAAATGAAGTTCACTTTTTATATCTATAAAAACAAATCTTATGTCATTCATAGATTTTAACATAGGTAATGATTTTGCTTCATAACATTCTTTGTCAAAGAACAATTCCAATAAAGATTTGTGATTTTCTTGAAATTCTTCATATTTTTCAGTTTTAAATAACTGATTATTGTCAGACAAAGCAACTGCTGACTTTGTATTTTTGTCATTTTTTTCATAGTCCAATATTTGTATAAGAAGAAGATAAAGTTCTTGTTTCATTACACAAAATATTTTCTTGGTCTTAGTTTGAGGAATACCTGCTTTATCATATTTGATCTAGAACATAAGATATTTCTTTGAAATAATTGTTACTTCAAATAAATAATAAATCATATGTTACCAGCTTAAAAAAATACGTATATGTATGTTTAAATTAAATATTTAGTTTTACCCAAAATCCACATGTATCACAATGTGGGTATTCAATGCTACTTTCTTTATAGTAATCCTCTCTTTTATAAACATTCATCTTGGTAGATGATGATAAAGATTTAGCTTTTTATGCTACGTAAATGTAATTCTGAAGGTCTTAAAAGTTAGCACCTAACAATTGAAATATTGAACAAATCTATAAACTAATTACACCATTCGATTAGGCGGCTTTTAATTAATCACATATCGTTTGTGCGTCGATTATGCTCATTTTCTTTATACGAAAAACAGATAAAATTAATTATAGGTGCTAGCGCCAGCACCCATAATTAATTATACGAAAAACTTTATATGAAAATGAGCATAATCGACGCACAAACGATATGTGATTAATTAAAAGCCGCCCAATCGAATGGTGTAATTAGTTTATAGATTTGTTTAATATTTCAATTGTTGGGTGCTAACTTTTAAAACCTTGATTCTGATATCAACGAACATAAATTCAGTTAAAGGTGTTTACAGAACAATTCTAACACCCCCCCCCCCCCCCTTAACCCAGCCAGCAAGTGTAATGGACAGTGAAAAAAAAAATAATAATAACTCATTCCTATTAATACAGCTCTTATAATTTGAGAATGTGCCTTACAAGAATAAAAAGTGTACCGATCTATGATACCGACTGATCTGTCAGGTGCATATGTATATGAATGTAGTGAGAAAAAATATTTATTCTTTAACGGATGGTTATAATAATATTTTAATTGGATAGAAAAACTGTGCGAGATTTTTGCTAACGATTGAACTGGTTTATTTCTCTAAAAACTTTAATAAAACTCCACGCAGATACAGTTATCGATAATCTGTGAATGATCAACTTTGATCATTTTTTTTATCAATGAAAATGAAATTGCGCGAAGTTATAAATAACTTTTGTTATTTTTGTTAACCACGCGCAGTTTTTCTATAATTTTTTTCGGTCGATTTTCGTTAACTTCCTGCTGAGTTCCTTTAGCCATTATCAACTACCAAAATGAATGTTGGTAAAAGAGATAATTACTGTACAGAAAGTATCATGGAATATCTACATTGCAACTCATGTAGATATTGAGTAAAACTAAATATTTAATGGTAAAGTACAACTCTGTTAACATGAAGGTGTCGGGTTCAACTCGGTTAGGTTGGCTATTTTCTTAATTCGTGAAAACATTGGAATAGATTTAAGATACAATATTTTTAATTATGGAAAGTTGTACGTTGCGGTATCTTGAGTTCGATCTAGAAGTTCTTTGAAAATATATATACCAACTATGATAATAAAGATACTATCAAAAAATTTCGTTTATAAAGAATTCTACATTTGATGCTAATATTCATTAAGATATTTTGATTTATAATTTTATATATATTGAAAATTTGTTTTTTCATTCTGTTTAATAGAAGTTAAATGTATAAACCGAATATGTGAAAATGAATGTGGCAGTGGTTGTTAGATTGTACAAGTTAATATTGATTGAAAAATATTATTTAGATTTTGAAATGTATATTGCAATCTCATTAGATGATATTATACGGGAACCATTAAATTCCACGCGTGCTAATACACTCCTAGTATAATAAATAGCATAAAAACGTAACACGAAGAGCATGCGAAGCACGCTAAATAATACTACTGTGGGCAAAAAGTAAGGTGAATTTGTTTGTAAAATGAAAAATCTTTATTTATTCTTCTATATCAATGTCATCTCCTTCGAAGTAATCCCCTCCCGATAAAATACACTTATGCCAAATTGAGCGTTTTCGGTACCAAACGAGATTTGACTTTTCGTAGGCCCAAATGGTCTTTCAAAATTGTTTTCACAGATCCTTCTGATATTCCGATCATATTAGTAAGGTCTCTAACAGTCAACCGACGATTTTCGAGCACTAATTCCTTCACTTTATTGACGTGTTGGTCATCTGTTGACGTCGATGGTCGTCCGGAGCGCTCCAAGTCATCAACACGTTCTCGACCCTCTTTGAAGTCTTTGTACCACTTATAAACATTTTTCTGCGACATGGTAGAATCACCAAAGGCCTTCCGCAACATCCTCAACGTTTCCGCAGCCGAAATTTCATTCCGCAAACAAAATTTGATGGCACTTCTTTGCTCAATTAAATCAGACATTGTAAAAATCGAAACATGCACTCTTGGTCGTTTGGTAAACACAAGCGTAAATATATTACTGATGATGACATTGACATGAAATTTATCCCAGATGTCATTCGCAGTCCTACCAACTCAAGAAAAAAAGAACTAGCCCGAAATGTTAAGCCTGCGAAGTTTAAATTGAAAATTCACCTTACTTTTTGCCCACAGTAGTATTTCTGAAATTAATTTCTGAGACATGTGGCAAAGGCCAAGTCTGAAGCCCTAATTCTATGACCACTTTCGTGGAATCAGAATAAATACAACAGTCGCCATAAACATGATTTTCATAAATATTTAGAGGTGTATAGGACATAAATATAGAACATCGGGATTGTATGAAACGTAATTCTTCAAGAAACTGTCAAAATATAAGTTTATTATGCCAAGCAATTTTCTCGTTAATATGACAATATCCTTAATAATTGTGGCGTAATCTCTATAATTTAAAAGCTGCAAATGTTCAGAGGTCACAATTTTGATATTTTTACCGAGCAAAATGTTAACAACGCAATTGTTATAAACCAATGACGACCTCGTCGTTTCTGCTTTTATTTCAACGGTTCTATCTTAATAATATCAAATTAAGATTTTGAATATAATTTTACTATTTGATAGGAATATCAAAAGTGGTCTTATTTACGTCATTGTGGCATGTAAAGTATACGTTATTATGATAGTTATCTCTTGCTTTTCGTAGCAGATGAATTCTTGCTTTAATATTCCAATTGTTAACAATTTACAAATCATTTGCCCGTTCGAACGAAAAAATTGGCTCATCGATAAGAATTAAAACATCTAGAAGAATAATGATGCAAATAAGTCGTTTATTTGTCATTGAACAGCTCCGCGATTTACATACTCGTACAGATGTGCAGCAGCGCGCAATTAATTATTCCTCCGTAGGTTTGAAATGAAAGAAAAAAGTAGAAAGAAACAAAGGCCGATAGATATGCGATCTCCCGTTCCGTCGGAGTGGCTCGGAGGAAGCGCGCGCATCGGAGAAGCCCGTGGGTAACGGTCCGGGCAGGAGGGAACGCGAAGCGAGGGAGTAGAGTGTTGTAAGGTAAGACGAGGGCGTGTAGTTGGATCGGTAGTCAGTGCCTCGGGGCGCATCGGCTGCGCGTTGCGTGGGCGTCGCGCGGAATACCTGCTGGCACGACTCGAGAGCGCGAAATTGCAGTGCCCCCCCCCCCCCCCCCATTATCTTGGCCGGCAGCTGGCGGTGACGATGACCGAGCCTGCGCGCAGCTATCCTGCCGGGTATCTGCAGCAGTCCCGCATTTGCATCGTTTCTTTGCAACATTGCCGGATCGACTTTGCGTCGAGCGAGCAACCGAAAGACTAGCAAGGGAAAGTGCGAGGAATGCAACAAGGGCGGAGAGAAAGAAGAGCCCCTTCGGCTCGGCTCAGGCTCAGCAGCAGGCCAACGCGTAATCGACTTCTGATTAATATATCTGTCGATGACACGCGATGAATATGTTCAATAAATTATTCAAATTTGTCGCCGGCGACCGGGGCGAATTGAATGAACCGACCGCCGGCCGACGTTCCTCATTGTGTATAGCCACTCGAGCGCTAAGAAATCAAGTCCGCGCGAGCTTCAATTATCGCAGATGAATTTCGATCTCTCGGTCGCGCGCTCGCTTTTTTGTCCGCGACCACTCGAGAATTCATTCGATCTCGGCGACGGATCGCGACTTGCTGCGCCTGACAAACGAATGCCACTTTCATTTGCTGCTTGTCTTTTCTCGTTAAACCGAGCCGTTGGGCCGCGCGCAGTTTTCGACTGCGAGACCGGGCACCAAGCGAGCGTAGACAAAGCAGGCCGATTTGCACATCGAGCAAGATTTTATTGATTTCCCACCACAGCCTTTTGTCTTTTTCGTTCATCTATGACTTTGGTTTACTAAAGCAATTTCAAATTCAATACACTCGATGGAAATTCAAATAAGTCCTCGCGGTTATTGGGATTTTAGCTCGAAGCTTTAGCCTGAGCCGCACTGGTGCTCGCGTGGCCAGAATTAATTAAGTTGAGTAAATAAAGAGCACAGCGACCGCGGCCTGGAAAAGAATTGGGCAAAGTCGCGCGGGCGAATATGCGTGAGCGATTGCTCGCCGGAATTGGGCGTGAAAGGCCTGTCGGAGACAATGCACGCGCGATCCGGCGGGCATGAAAATCGGCGAGTGCGACTGACTACGGGGGATAGGTAGCGGCTGGCGGAGTCGGGGGCTCATCCGACGGGATTGTCTGCGTCGGGCGGCTGGGCGAGTAGTTTGATCACGAGGCAGAGTCGCGGCATCGTGGCTTCTGACGCGATTAGTATTGTTCCGCGTCCGTTCTGCCAGACGAGGTATGGCGTGCCTTCGTCGGTTATATGCGATCGCGGGCGGCCTGCCTGTGCGGCATAATAGGCTCGTGCCATCTAGCTACACGGTGCACTGCGCGCAGCTTTTGCGCTCAAGCCTCGCCCGTGAACGCCACGCCACGCTGCTTATTTGTCGGCGCCTCGCGTTGCAAGCCGCGCAGTCGCGTCTTTACCGCGTTCTTTTTTCACTTTCGCTTCTCCGAAGCACTTGCAACTTCACAAAGTATATTAATTATAGACACTTGGCGGAGAGTGTCGTCTAATTAGCAGAGATCCTTGGATTGCCAGTGCAGCAAAGCAGCAAAGAAACTTGAGCCCCGAGAAGCTCATTAGAGAACCGATAATTATAATTAATCGATTCTCCTCCATCGAGTGGATTTTTACTGGCGACCTATCGCTACTAACTGCCGTCAATGTAGAAATAGAGGAAGCTCGCGTTGCTCGGCATTAAAACTCGTTATTCACGACTTGTCACAAGTTTCTAAAGCACGCTACTATGTAAGCAGGCTATCAACGAGCTTTTACTAATTTTCCTTCGAGCGGCAAGTTACCTCGGCAAGGCCGATCCTTTGAGTTTTTACGATGCTCAACATTTTC